TATTTATGCGTTCCATTTCTTCCTTAACAATATCTAATTTTCGTACATTCATGGTTCTCACATTCCATGTCCCATTGTTAACGAAGAACTGGAACGCATAAATACTGACGTGGTAAGTATTGCCAAGATGAGATGGACTGGCATGGGGCATTTTGATCATATGATCTATTACTCTGGAGATGAAAAATGTATAAAGCATGTTTACACTTTCTTAAAATGTACTTACTTTAATACACAATTACCTGAAAATGGTTAAAAGTTGTCTCAGTGCAATTCTGTTATGTTAATTGATTATACCTGTAGAAAATATTAAAATACTAATCTTTTATTTAAAAGGCTTATAATAACACTCTATACAGGATACATTTTCACTTTATCCAACTTTCCCTAGCAATGCAGGAAGAAGCTTTAAAGTTGGTTTTATTGGCCTTAGAAGATGGATCTGCTTTGTCAAGAAAAGTCTTGGTTCTCTTTGTGGTGCAAAGGTTGGAGCCTCGATTCCCTCAGGCCTCTAAAACTAGCATTGGGCATGTTGTCCAGCTCCTTTACAGAGCCTCCTGCTTCAAGGTAGGACTCTATATTCAATATAAGCATTTCCCTTTCCTCAAACTTAACTAGTAAAACTTAAAAAGTAAGGATGAAGAAGAATTTGAATTCTTATAGGAATAAAACATTACTAACAAGGCAAAATCGTTTCTAAAATATGTTGGGGTATAGATGATCTTAGTCTAGAAGTTAATTATTTTACATTGATTTTAATAGGCCTAAATCCAGCTTGACTCAAAATATTAATTACTATGGGACGAATAATCATGCCACCCTCAACAAGTTGAGAGAATTAATGAATACCACTATAACAACACAGTGATTAGCACAAGAGCTCTAATAATATTGCATAGCAAGTTGCACTGCTAACCCAAAGGCTGAGAATATCTCTAGGAGTTCAAATCCACCAGCAGCTCCTCAAGAAAAAGACAAGCAGTGTCCGCCCATGGTGATTTGTAGCCTTGGAAATCTGATGGAGGGTCACTATGAGTTGGAATCTAGTCAGTGGTTGGTTGGTTGGTTAGTGAAATGTTCACTAAGTGTTAGCCATTTTTCCATCACCATCATTATTATTATTTTAATCCAGCATTCTAGATGTTGTGCTTTGCAGTAGTAGCCTAGGGAGTGGTTCTGTCTATAGGGTGTTGTACTACTAACCAAAGGCCGAATTCTATGCCAGTTCGAATCTACCAGCTTCTCTGCAGGAGAAAAGATGAATAATCCTTTCCCATGTAGTTTACTCAGAAAACGTGATAGAGAGTTATCTAGGAATCACTTCGGCGATGAGTTTTATTTTTGGTTTGTTTTTAAAGTAATAGCTTAAACCTAAGATCTCCATGTAGAATTGTTGTTGTTAAGTGCCATAGAGTCACAGGTGACTCATAGCAACACTATGAAGGAGAGTGCTCAACGCTTGGGTGCCTTTCATCCTCTCTCCAGTTTCATAGGGTTTCCGGAGGCAAGCTATTATGGAAATGGATGCCACTCCTCCTTCCAAGCTTGTTTTAATTGGGGAGCTCCACCCCACTCTCTGTCCGCATTGGGTAGCTTCCTGGCCTGCCGGGCTCCAGGGGCAGAGTAGTCCTTTGCGTCTGAAAACTGCCACAAAACTCTTGCAACCGGGCCATAGCAACCCTAGGTGGAGCAAACCTCGAAGAACATGGCTGCCGTCTCTCTCCCCTCTTCTCCTTCCAGGCTTGAAGCCCTCTGCTGCCACCTTAAACCCTAGGCCAAGCCTGGCTTGCCTGGCTCCTGGAGACAGAGTAGTCCTTCGCGCCCCAAAACCACCCAAACAGCACCATGCTCTCTCGCAACTGGGCCATAGCAACCCCATGTAGAATTAAACCAAGTATAAATTAGTCATTTTTAGAATCATACTTTAAATGAGTCCAGTGGCATAGTGATTACAGTGTTCATCACCTGCTAGCAAAGGTTGAAATTCAAACAAACCCACCAGCAGCTCTAGGGGAAATGATGTGACAGTCTGCTTCTGTGAAGATAAACAGCTTTGGAAACCTTATAAGCAGTTCTGCTCTGACTGTAGGATCACTTTGAGTCAGAATTGACTCAAGGACAGTAGGTTTGGTTTTTCAAAAGCCTGTTTGCTTCTGTAGCTTTTTAACGAAAAGAGTTGTCTCATTACCAAACAGCTTCTACTATTTCATAGTTACGATAAAGAAATATTCACTGCTTTCCAGAAATACTGTGTTTTTTCTTCTTCATACACACATACACACACTCTCTCATAAAAAAAACATACAGCTATTTTAAGTTCTGTTCATTCTTTGCATTTCATTTTAGCATGTTTTCCTCTGTTCCTTCCCCACCCCAAGTTGATTCCTTGTCCTAGACCTTCCATCAGGTTTCTGAGGCTGTAAATCTTTACAGAAAAGTTGGATTTTTCATTCATTCATTCATTGTTGTACATTTTCCTCCCTACTCCCCCCAGTTCTCTTTTTTTTAAAAAAAATTCATTGTTGCATAATTTCCTCCCTCCCTCTCCACCCCTCCCCCATCTACATAGCTACTTACCTCTTATTCTGGACTATTGTCATACAAATAATGCTTAATCATTTGTTCCTTTTAACAGTTCTTCATCTGTTAATTATATAAAACTTAGTAGATTTGGACATCTGTAAAGAAGGAAATGTCTTTCCCTCACCTTTCTTTAACTCTTTGTTGTTCTTATTGTGTGCTGTTGAAGATTGCCCCTTCATCTCCAGTGGAACATCTCGTGGATTTGAACCACATGCCTTCAGGAGTGCAGTGTAGCTTCTTACCACTAGGCCACCAGAGCTCCAAGAAGGAAATGTCTTATAAGCAAAATTAAGAATTTCACTTGAATTTTATTATAATTATTAAAATAATTTTGCTACATTAAAACTTAATCTTATTTTCTGTATGTGTAAAGTATAAATTCCATTTTTTACCTGACTTATGTGGTTATGTGTGTCTCTTTAGGTCACTAAACGTGATGAAGACTCTTCTTTAATGCAACTGAAAGAAGAATTTAGAACCTATGAAGCTCTGAGGCGAGAACATGACTCCCAGATAGTGCAGATTGCTATGGAAGCAGGTTTACGAATTGCACCAGACCAGTGGTCCTCTTTGCTTTATGGAGACCAGTCTCACAAATCTCATATGCAGTCAATTATTGACAAGGTAGACCCTTTTTTGTTCTTTATTCCGTGAACTAATCTTGGTATTTTGATAATTCACAATTTGATAATTCATTTTATTTAAAACATAAGCATTAAGTTGGTTCTAATATTTCAGGCTTTTGTAAATTATATTTTCTAGAGTTAAGTGTCATGTTTATTGTAACATCAGTTGGTTCATCTGATTATTGCTGTATTGCTGCTGTGTTTTATCTAACACCCACATTTCTTTGAGTTCTCCTTCCTATTATTGCCTCTTTTCTGGGTTTGATCATTGGATTTATTAACAGATGTACTATTGTCTCTGTCTACAGTAGCCATGTAAATGTCCAGAGCATCTGTAAACTGAAGTTTATTATCTCAGCCAGGATAAATTTCACATGATAATAAAGTTATTATCATTCAAAATAAATTTTCACTGTATTTGTTTTATCTATTGCCTGTTCTAATAAGACCGTTCCAGTTGGCATCAGTAGACATAAATTTCAGGTCAGGCTCCATTTTTACATGTGACAATAAGAGCTGTAAGCAGCTCTGGTGGCATAGTGTGTTGTGCATTGTGCTGGTGCAAAAAAGGTCAGTAGTTCAAATCCACCACCAACTTGAAAGACAGCCACCTCCCAGTAAGATTTATAGCCTAGGAAACCCTAAGAGCTAGATTTAATTAGTTTGAAACTGGAGTAATACTGTAACTGCTGTTGCTATGAAATGAAATGTTTGTGAAAAAATCTTCAAGCACAAAGTGCTTAATATGTATTTAATTGCTTAATAACTTTTTGCCACCAAGTTGTTTCCAGGACATGGTGACCCTGGAGGACAGAGTAGATTTGACCCATAGAGTTGCCATAGCTACAGAAAGTGCAGACTGCCATTTTCTTCCATGGAGCAGTTCAGTATTTGAATGGCTGACCTGTCTGCAGTCATATGTTTTAACTACACCGTTTGGGCTTATTTGCTTATGACAGTATGACAATATTGTTTTATTTATACTATTTTATCTTTTAGATTCTTAGTGATGATTGTGTCTTTGTTGTTGTGTATCATAGGGTCAGAACCGACCCATAACTGACTTTTTAAAGGCAGGTTTTCAGAGGCCGTTAATCACACAGGAGGCGATTGCCCATCCTTCCTCCACAGAGCAGCTGGTGACCTCGAACTGTGTGCCTTTGAGATTGCAACACAGCTTCTTGCCACTAGGCTACCAGGGCTCCCTATTGATGATTATACCTTCAAATTAATTTTAGATTAGCCTAAATATGGTAACTCTTATTAAAACTATGTGCCAAGTGGTTTTTAGTAGAAGCAAGGATGTTGAAATTATCACTTGATTCCCTGATACTTAGGAAAGACCAATCAAAGGACGTTCTTGGTAAAGTAGTATGTAAGCAAAAATGGAGGAAATTTCAATGGGACAGACTGAAAGAATAGCCATCATGTACTCAGACATACCAATTATCTTGAAGATAGTGCAAGATCAGGCAACATTGTATTGTTATTCTTAAATTTGCCATAAGCTGGAGCTGACTTGATGGTTTCAGAAAACAACCTTCACAACCGTCCAATATTACCCCTCCCCCTCTGCCTGTCCCCCAGTATTACCTTTTTATACAGAGGCATGGGAAGGTTACATTTTGCATGGTCATATAGCTAATAAATGACAGAGCTTGAATGTGAATTCAAGCACTTCGGTTCTAGAATCCATATTCTTAAACATAGCTAAACCTTTACCTGACAGAATTCGGTACCTTTGTTCCTGTTATTTCAAAAATAAGATTTCAACACCAATAGGTTGGTATCAAAAGAGAATTGGGAAATGTTTTTAGTAACTGCTCGACATATTTTTGTCATTATAACGTACTTTTTTTGCTCTGTCCTCTAAGTCTTCCCTGGATATTTTTAACTAAACTTTATTTGAAACTCCTAGATTTGGAGAATAGCTTGTGTCTGAACTTGTGTGTTTAATTATTACAATAATTCATTGAAATAATAATATTTTCATAGAGTTGTGGTGTTTTTTTTAAAACTCTGATGAAATATTTTATTTGCTTTAATAAGGTCCTGTAAGCAGGCTTTTTTTTTTGTAAGCAGGCTTTTGTTTTGAGTATACTGTGGACTGCCAAAAGAACAGACAAATCTATTTTGGAAGAAGTGCAGTCAAGAGTGCTCCTTAAAGGCAAAAATAGGAGACTTTGTCTTAGAAAGACTTAGAAAGGTGGAAATTCTGCAAAAGATTAGATCTTCAACAAGATGATTGACATATCGACTATAACAATAGGCTTAAGTATCCAAGATAGTGAGCATGGTGTAGTGTTGGACAAAATTTGATGTCTTATACATCAAAGGTATGATTGCTTTGAGTCAGAATTAATAGCATATAACCAAGTGTGACCAGGTACAGCGAGTTAAATTGTAAAAATGATTGTGGCTTTGTAAATAATCTTTCTTTTTAAAAGATCACCTGGGCATTAACAGTAAACTTATTGCTTTTGAGTCAGAACTGACTCCTTCAGTGGATTTTCAAAGGCTGTAGATACTATAAAAGGAGTTTGCCCATCTTTTCCCCTCAGCAGCTGGTGGATTTGAAGCTCCTGCCTTTGGGTTAGCACACGACTCCTTAACCACTAGGCTACTAGAACTCCCTACCTGTCCCTTGTAATTGTTGTTGTTATATGCTGTTGAGTCACCTGTGACTCATAGCAACCCTTTGTACAGCAGCTCTGTCCTGAGCCATTCTCACTAACTCCAACACACCTACCCTCATTGCCCCAGTTACTGTATCAATCCATCTTGTCCAGGGTTTTCCTTTCCTGTATGGACTCCACCCTTCGAAGCATGATGTCCTTCTCCAAGGACCTGACCCTTAGGAAAGTTAATATTTGTCTTCTTTTAAGTTGCAGACCCCAGCCTCTTTTGCGCAAAGTGTTCAGGAATTAACAATCGCTCTACAGCGGACTGGAGACCCAGCGAACTTAAACCGATTAAGACCCCATCTGGAACTGTTGGCAAACATTGATCCTAGTCCAGGTAAACCCAAGAGAAGATAATAGACTGTCCAGTATGTTCCCACACTGCTGGTTATTGATTCCTTTAATTATTTTTGCTACATTTCTTTAGAATTTCCTAGTTAGTCTAGATATTCTAACAGGCCCTCCCCTTGTCCCACTGCTTCTCAGGTTAGTTTGACATTTGATTTAATACTTGTGTTGTACTCCTCACTTCACCAATAAAATGTATTTTCCCTGGGTTCCTTTATGTTTCCTCTTTCTCACAAAATTTAACTGTATTTTAACATTCTCACTTCTTTGCCACAGTTTCATGTTTTTCTACATCATATAACCTTGATCTCATTTTTTCTTATTACATAAATATCCTCTCTTCCATATCTTTGCTTTATAAACTCTTTCCTGTTACTTACTTATTCTTGACCTGAAGTTATACCCAATCTTCATTATTCACCTAATGAATAATTCATCTAAATATCTTAGCTTTTCCCCCTTCAGTTCCATCACTGTCATTGCTTTTATTCCTGATCTGAAACACTTGGCATTCACTGGTAATTTCCTAGTTTCTACATAAAACTCCTTAATTTACTTGAAATATCTTCAGCCTTTGATAATGTTGTTGACCACATACTTGATATAGAAGCTTTCCTGACATCTTGCCTCTAGTCTCATTGTTGTCATCTGCTTTCTCTAATGGAACTTGTCTAATTTTTACTTCTTTAATTCTCCTACAAACCTATAAGTAGGCAGGTTTTGCTCTGGGGACTTGCTATCTTTGTGGGCCTGTTGATAATGGCCATTCAATCCCATCATTAAGCAAAATGTTTTTACAGATAACACTTTTCAAAATGTCACAACCACTGCCATCTCTTCATTGTTGTAGACCTACTTTCCCAAATGTATGCTGAGATTCTCCATTATCTTTTTGTGTGTTAAAGCAAACTCATCTTGATACTTGCTGCTCCTTGTGTTTCCTCACTGTGATCTATTATCTAAGTTATGTAATCTTAGTATAAATCTTTTATCTTGCCTGATAACTTTTCCCTGCAGTTAATCTCCATGCTTTTTCAGACAGCAGTATCTAACTCTTCTTTTTTTTTCTTTATTATTATTAAATTTTATTAGTTTCAATGAACATTCTGGGCTTTCACTCCTTCATTGCCACACCATTCTC